GATGGTAAGGGTGCTAACACCTTCCCTTTCTATAATCTACCCCCCGTACTCAAAATATCTCGAAAAGGATTTTTTTCTGTACTTTTTTCCTTTCCAATTGGATGAAATAAAAGTCGGTGTCGACTCTTGCTTACCACGACATTTTGCAAACACAAAATGCAAAGCGCAAACCAGCATTCAAACAGTCGATTCTGCCACCGTATCACACATGTGATATCGAGTCTGTATGGCTATTTTTCAGTTGTTATTGAATTTTCCCAAAATTTTAAAATTTTAAACTGCGAGAATTTTTTTTGTTTTGATATATGACACACACTCTGAAAATATATTGGTTGTCACACTTTAGGTTGTGTTAGAGAGACTAAAGTTTCAATAAAATCGATATCGTTATGACACCCTAAACACCCTCATTGTGTGATATCAATTTGGGTACCCATTATGCTGAGAACTTAGGCTCAAGTTTTCAAAGTAGCTCTTAAGTAGTTTATATTAGCAGTCAGCGCTATCTTAAACACAAACTACGCAGGGAGTCGATGAATATAAGTGAATGATCCCATTTTTAATAAATAAATGATTTAATTGAATAATAACCTTATAAGTTAGGTGATCCCCACCCGATCATTTAGCCTAATAGTTGTTACGCCTATAAAGATTTAATAATAAGCCCCCATTGTTGGTTGGTCCAGATGTCACTGGTACTGAACTTGGTAGGGCGGGCTACGGTTTGATCCCCCGCAACCACAATTGGGGAAAATGGGGCTACACTGCTTAAATACCAGAACCTCGTGCTAAAGTAAAGAAAAGGATCATACTCGCTAACCAATTTCCCTACTATGTGTGTGTATAGATAACTGGCTTAATGTGATTGCACTTGAATGAAAAGAGTGAAAGAAAAACGAGAGATATAGGTTGAGCTACAATGGCATTATTCGAATTAGTTTGCATAAAGAGGGAGTCTTTGAAGGTCGTGTCGTTATTCCATCCTTGGTATTGAACATTTAGTACCTATCCATCTAATATTAGACTAACAACCACGTATAATTAGGAGTCGTGTCTTGCCCTTGTTTCAAATCACGCTTAATCATCTCTTTTACCATGTTGGGTGATTGCTTGAGGACAAGCAATGGTTTAAGTGTGGGGGAATTTGATAACGCGAAAGTATATCACATATTCGACTTAACTCACATGCATTTTAGTTTCGTTTTCATCCAATTCTTATCTTGTTATGCCGATATTATTGTTTTATTTCAGGTACACTCTAACAAAAGGCTCATATGCTAAAAAAATGAAAAAATGGCAAAGAAGTAGAACATATTGCAAGAACCAAATAAAATGCAAGAAAATGAAGTTTTAAAGTTGTGGTCCTCGCCACAACCTTTGTTTATGTGGCCCTTGCCACATCATGTGGCCCTCGCCACAAATTGAATTCAAACAGTTTCAAATAACGTTCCTTATTTCTCTCCACGAGCCTAGTCTCCCAGATTTTTTCTCCACGAGCCTAGTTGAGAAATAGCTATCACAAATCTAGTTTTAGGTTTTTTTAATTTCATTTTGTATTTGGAATATCAAGTGTGTCGACATAATCCAAATTTTGTTTCAATTTTGTACGCAAAGATTATTTCAAAAGTTATTTCCAGTTTGCATTTATTTTCAAGTCTTTACATGTTTTTTTTATTTGTATTGCTTATTATTATTATTATTATTATTATTATTATTATTATTATTATTATTATTATTATTATTATTATTATTATTATTATTATTATTATTATTTATCATTATTTCTTTATTTGTCAAATTTAATTACCTTGTTGTTTTTAATTGCAATTGCTATGTTTAATTTGTTTTCAATCAATTGTATGTCTAGCTAAATCGTTTGATACCGTTATGTAAGAACTGTCGTCTGGATGAGATTTGATAATAATTGGCGTTAATTTTTATAAACTATTTTTCTGGTTGTAGTTTCTAATTCTAAAATTAATAGTTTTTGTACGAGAGTAAAAAGCAAATAAAGGTTAAGGTCAATAGAGCGACAATTTGATATTTTAACCGGATAGTAGAATCTAGGCATTAATCTTAAACACAGCGAGAACACTTTAGGATTAATTAGAACTTATTAATTTCCAAAAATTACTTTTAATTCAAATGAGTGGGCGACAACAAAGCATTCTGGTTTAAGAGTATAGTCAGAGTCAATAGCACGACAATGTGAGATAATGTCTTTTAAATCAATATTTTCTACTGAAAACTATTTTGACTTTTTTTACGCCAACATTTTATCGAATCCCTGAGATATGATGAGTTACATACCGGTGCCCCGTTATTGAATATTTTTATTAAAGTTTCCGCTATCGTTTAAATTTATTTCTCGTTTTCTCTTAAACCCAATAAAAATCATTAGCCTTAGTTTTAGTTCTTAGTCTCCCTAAAATCCAATTATTCATTAGCCTTAGCTTTAGAAAGCGAAGATAGATTGCGGTAGGTTAACATTGATCTTTGTGGGTTCAACAATCTTTTATATTATTTCGATATTTCCGTGCACTTGCGGATGCATCAATACTCATATCTTCAAATTAAATCTTCAAGGATATCCAAAACAGCGCCTGCTGCATCAGCCTCAGGATGTCACAACATCTTATGTGACATATGGCATAAAAACACATAACAACAAAACTGTTATGACAATTGATAAAGATATTGCACCATCTTACCAATATTAACATAGAACCATGTTTAGCCAAAATTTAGCCAACCATAAAAACATGGAACTAACAGTAGGCTTACGAATCACATCTCGTGCATTTTTTCAATTCTATTTAACATGTTTGTTTTTGTTTTTAATCTAGATTTTCTATCTCTCTTGGAAAAAAACTGTCTTGTTGGAAAACGCCTGAGAGATATCTTTTATCGCGTCTTCGTTGGCGATATTAAGGAGATAAATTTGTTCCCTTTGTTTACTATAATCTTGGATGATCCCACTAAATTTTCTCCTTTAATATTATTTCTATATTTTGGTTTCCCTCATTTGCAGGTCTTTTTTCCTTTAGAAACAACTACCCATTCCCCATACTTAGGAGACTAATTTCCCCCCTAAATTATCGTTAGAATTTGTCACACCTCCCGTATTTTGATAGTTTTCTCCTTGAATCAAATTCAGTTCAACCATTGACGAAAGTTGTAATGTCTTCACCATCATAATAAGTCCACACACATTCTTGGAAAAATTTCAAGCCATGTGACCATATATGCCACATTTTTGCACAATAGCTGCAAGTTTTTGGTTTCCACTTTCAACCACCTCCCACAAAATTTTATGCGACCAACAACTAGCTTGTTTAGGTTCAAGTCTACAAAAACGCTAACGTATTTTCCACTGAAAGCCTCCAAAGTTCTGATGCCAAATTTAATCGGTTTTTCAATGGTTGTAGCAAGAGCAATGACCACACTCTCATCATGATATCCCATTCCTAACCCAGGGATGCAAATCCAAACCATTGTACTATCAATGATACATTTTTGGACCGAAGTTTGGACTTTAGTTGTGCAATATCAAATAGTGATCAAATGTCATCCACACCTCGTCTTCTATAATTCTTTTTCTTTTGTCTTCAACCATATTAAACTTGACCATGTAAAAGTCATGCCACTGAATCCATATCTCCCAAAACTTTTCACATAACTTTAAGCCGACATCGTATGGTAAAAGAACTAATAAATTTTTCCAATAATTTGACAATTACTGCATCAATAAGGTTTTCTTATTTCACCCACTATTTGATCCACAATCGAGTAATGTGGTTCACCATCTTCAATTTCAACGCGAAAGCATTTTTGACAAATCAGATCAACAACCTTCCTTTAAGGCAAATACGTATTTGATCTGAGAAATTTGTCTTCAAACGATATCTTTTAATTGCCAAAGTCATCATTTCAACGATAATCATGTGATTTTAGTGGTTATTGTTCTATCATATTTCTGTTTTTCTTCGAGAACTTAAAGAACATCAAAGAGAAGATAAATATTTCACTAACTTATGTAACTTTTAATATATTTAATAAAAGTTAAAAGAATCTTTAAAAAACAATAAATTTATAACTCATTTTAAATATTATAAATTTTTTACGAATCAAAACAATTTTACGACTCAATACATCCTCTTAAATTTGATTTATCTTTTGAATCAAAAATAAAATATTTTCGACTTACCAAAAATAAAATAAAATATTTAAATAGGACTTTATCGGGCCGGGCTAAAATCGAGTATGGCCCACCCAATTAATAACCCTAAAATTTAGCATTATAAATACAAACAACAAATTGTTTGATGTTTTTAATGTAAGAAAAAAACAATTGTGTTTTGAGAGGCAAGAGAAAAACACACCTCGAGACAAGAAGAGGGTTTTATTTTCATAATCTCTCCGCTTACTCATTTATTTCTCATTCTTTTGAATGATATCTCCAAATCCAATTCACCTCGCGTTTTTCATTTCACCATTCAAATTCAACCGCAGCTCCACCATCTAGCACCATCACCACCACCGCCACCATCAATTACCAATCATTCTCAGGTTCCGGTTTCAGTTTCAGTTTCAGTTTCAGTTTCGATCTTGTAATGTAATTGTATTGTATCTGTCTCTACACACTGTTCGTGAAACCCTTAATTTCTTTGTTGTTGCCGCCATTTTTTTCATGTATTAGTTTTGTTTTTGCTTGAGGTTTAGATCATTAGGTAAATCTGCTCATAGAATACCAATGGTCACAACCCTTCATACATATCCTATTGTCAATTTTTGTTTGTACACTTGTTACATTACTATTTCATCAGTATATGTAAATGTTATATCTTGATTTTCTTTCGTTGTAAATTGCTGTTCTGTGTTTGTATCATCAACATATACCTAGAACTTTGTTTTTTGTGTGTATGCTATTGCTTCCTTTATTTTTGTGTTCAAACTCAAAAGATATCTAGCATACAAGTGTATTAGAGAGTTAAAAGTTCATGGCAAACGAATCTTCCGTTGATCGCGTTGAAGCTGAAACGTTTGCTGAATATCGTGGTAACGGTGGTTGTGTGGTGGAGGAACATGCTGATAGCGGTGATTATGACAAAGCGAAACAGAAATCTTTGTTTTGTCAAATTTTTTCGGTTTACCTTAAGGAGGATTGTGGTAAAGGTAATGTGAGGCCTATTCCGGTGGTGCTTGGTGACGGTCAATTGGTTGATTTATACCAACTTTTCTCCCTTGTGAAGGAAAACGGCGGGTATGATGTGGTATCGAGAAAAGGGCTGTGGGATTCGGTCATAGTTGAGCTGGGTTTGGAAATTCATTTCTTGGCTTCGATTAAATTGATTTATGATAAGTATTTGATTGGTTTCGAAGGCTGGCTCACAAAAACTTTGGATCTAGAGAAAGAATTCCGAAGCCTTTTGTGCTTGAATCTAAAGGACAAAGATGATTGTTTTGTCCCGTTTAAATCGAGTAATATCATCAAGCATATTGATTTGGTTAATCAAAAGATTGATGGTATTGGTGATGATGATAAAATGGTAACTGATGCTGTTAAGGAGGAGGATGACTGTTGCATGGAAATTTCTGCCGAGGAATTTAATTCTCGCAAACGTAAGCGAGAATCATTGTCAGGGATGGTACACTGGACCAGGCATATTGCAAAACATCCGATTGATCCGGCAACCGTACCATTACCAGAACCTTCAAAGTGGAAGGACTATAAAGGAGGTCAGGACTTTTTCCTTCAACTGCTGAAGGCAAGAGACATTCTCTCGGTGAGAAAGCATGCTGCACCAGGCAGTGGATCATCTTCCCAGGTATTGTTTCAATTGATATGATGATTTAATGCATGATTTTACACATTGAATTTTTTTGTGTCGGTTAATATCCTGAACCAGAATGTTTTCACATGAAGGGCTAGTATCTTTTTATTGTATTTATGATTTATGATTAGCATTACAATGTACTTAATTCTGCCCACGTAAAAAATATATACTCGCAATCTATCGGTTTATTTCCTAAAATAATATACACTAGTTCCAAAATCTTAGCTTGCTAACCCTAAATGTCGACTACGGTTAATGCAGTATAATCGTGTTAATACATCAGATAGATTTTTTTGGTCCAGTCCACAAAATGACCGCTCTCAGATTTACAGCTCTAACCTAGGCACTTCACAATGAGAAAGATATCATGGTCAAACATTAACAAAATCCCTCTTTATTAACAAGTTAGGAAAAGATTATTAGCATTATGAAATTTCCATTATGAACTGTAACTGCATTATTGAGCCAGGTTATCGGTATCCTACGATACATACGAGTCATATATAAATTAGAAACAAATCAAAGAACTCAATCAATACCTTTTGATGCACGTATCTATGTTGGATATAGATCACAATGGGAGTCTACATTCATTGTGATGAATCACCACTTACCCCTAAATCCAACAACTTAGATTCTGCCAGATGGTCGCCCAACTATAAGATTGTTAGGGTCCCCCCTCTCTAAATCACGTATTCACGTTCCGCTTGGTCACAGCGTTGAAACGGACTGGGCCGTGCAACCTGGTTTGCAAAAGGCCTGTTAGGTTTTTTTTTGGTTAAAAGGGACAGAATCAACCAAAATCAAATAGTCCAAAATAACCAAATTTGAATCCGATCCGAAACTTGGTTTGATAACTAATTACTCAACTTTTTGCACTGTTTATGATTCTGTTTTTGCCTATTTATTTTATGTAATAATGTTTGAACTTGCTATGTGGTAATGCTTTGTCTATCCACCAATACCTCCTTTAACAGATGATATGATTGGCTACATGGAAAACAATGCTAGTCCTATCATAAATCATGTTTAATAAAGGTTTAGTTTATCGTGTTCACTGTTCCGTGGATTACTTTTGCTACCGTAGCAAACAATATCTTAAAGATGAAATTTATTTAACTTAAAGTCTTGTGTGAAAAAATTCTACTGAATTTCTGAAACTGTATGCTTTACAGAAGGTGAAGATGCATCCTGCCATGTATGAGGATCCTGTTGCTCTTGGTCACCAAAGTTCCAAGAAATTGAGATGTAGTGAAAGGCTTCCTGTATCTGTTAAATCTCGCTGCAGTTGCTGCAATTCATTTCATGGTAATGGAAATAAATGTTCTCTGGAGAAAACACCAGCCAAACCAAACGGTGTGTCTGAAAAGAAAAAATCTGCTGCCAAACCGGATGTCACCGAGAAGAAAAAATCTGCTGCGAAACCGGATGTCACCGAGAAGAAAAAATCAACTGCCAAACCAGATGTAACTGAAAAGGAAAAATCAACTGCCAAACCAGATGTAGCAGTAAAGGAAAAATCTGATCCAACTAGTGATGATTCTCGTGAAAAGATTGTTTCTGTCGGTCATCGTTTCCAAGTGGAGGTCCCGGAATGGACTGGCGTAGCTTCTGAGAGTGACTCTAAATGGTTGGGCACACAAATTTGGCCTGTTAAAGATGACTCAAAAGCTACTACTGAAACTGATCTCGTTGGGAGAGGAAGAAGAGGAAAATGCAGGTGCAAAGTTCAACGTTCTGTTGACTGTGTCAGATTTCATATTGCCGAGAACAGGATGAAACTGAAGCTTGAATTGGGTTCTGTATTTTACCGATGGAGATTTGATCAAATGGGTGAGGAAGTTTCACTTCGATGGACTGCTGAAGAAGAAAAGAAATTTAAGGATGCAATGGGGTTAAATATCCCGTCCCAAAACAAGTCTTTCTGGAACAAGCCATCCAAATACTTTCAAAAGAAGACTAGAAAAGACATGGTGAACTATTACTTCAATGTATATCTTATTCAACTGAGAAGCTATCAGAATCGTGTCACTCCGGATGCTGTTGACAGTGATGACGATGAAGTTGAATTTGGATCTTTTGGTGATGGATTTGGGAGAAAAGCTATCAAGCATCCATATATGGAGTTTATGGAGTGTTCAGAGAACACACAGTGCTTTGATTTTGAGTAGACAAAACAAGGTGATAATTTGATAAATGCATCATAACCATTTTGAGATTGAGAAAATAATTTCTTGGATCAGACTTGTATACTGTTGTCTTTCTCCTTTCTTCATAATCAGGAATGCGTTCCTTCCCTAGGAAATTTTTGGTCAACATACAACATAGAAATGGAGATAGAGGAAAGAACCGGCTAGGAAGGGAATGGCTGATGTGTTGGAACTTGGAAGCCAGTGTGGAGATGTTATAAATCTTGACTACCCTTAAGGAAGAACTTGTAGAAGCTGCCATTAATTTGGTTTGACATGGTTATGTTGTCAAAATGGCCGTTTATTGAGTACTTCTTGGAGGCTGCATAGTTAGTGCTGCAAAATCTTCTGTTCCCCCTCCCTTTTGGACAGCATTAATGCTGGAAAACTTCTTTTTCTTTCTTTTAGACAGCATTTTTGCTGTAAAACTTGTTTAGTCGGAGCAAAATCGCTTTCAAGTTTATGTTTTTAGTTAGACATCTGCAAATTAATTTTACAAATTTTATTTTGTCAGGTCTTTGATTTTGTGATAGAACAAATTTTAATGTTTGTTATCAATGTGCTCAACCTTGCAGACTATTTTGTTTCCTGATTTCTTTTAGAGTGTCAACCCTCCAGTGTGAAGCTTCTCACTATGGTGCTCCCTATCATGTGGAGGTTTCATTTCCCTATTTTTTGTAGTTTCCTCAGCTCTCCAGTCCTCATTCCCACTGCTTCTCACCTTGTGTGTGGAATGAATTCATAGGCTGAATGTTGGGTTCCGAGTTAGTTATGCCACTTTGAGTGCCAACCATTTTATGTTTAATGTTGTTTGGAAGTATGATTGCAGAAACATATTTAGATTGGTATTTCAATCTTTGTTTTTTTCTTTCCTTTCAATTCATACATCCATAAAACACACATATTGCATTTTTCGTTTTTGCCTGTGCTGCTCTTTGTTCCTATTTATATTTTGTTCTTGGTTCTGATGTGGCCTCTCTTGAAAGGCCAGCTTTCCACTCCTTTAGATGTTGTTTCTTTCTGCTTCACAAATGTAAGTGTTGTATTTCCGTCTATGTAAATGTTTTGAGCACCATGGTTCGGGGCTAGAGGTGTTTGTTTCAGTGAAAAGATAGAGGTCTGGTAACCGCTTTGGTTTTGTTAGGTTTAAAGGGGTGAAGAATGTCAAGAAACTTCGATATGCGAGAGCTTCATCGGTGGCCAAGGATCCTAAACCAATGCTTAATGTGCGGAGAAGTAGTGTTTCTTCCTAAACCAATGCTTAATGTGCGGAGAAGTAGTGTTTCTTCTGCGAAGGTGGTGGTGGGTAAATCCTTCAAACAAGGTGTGTACTTTATTGGAGAAGCAATTACCTCTACCACTAGAGTAAGAGAATTTTATTGGGTCCAAAAAGGAACAACCCAGACCAAATGCATCAACATTTGGGCCGAGGTGTTGTGTTCTAGATAGATTTAGCCTTATGGAGGTTAGATTGATTAGAAATGCATGTTTAGGAAATTAATTTTTTTTATGGGTTTTTGTTTGTTGATGCGTTGCATGAATTACTTGGTATTTGCTATGATCTTGCATGCATGTCCTACTTTGAGATGATTTGATCCTTGTTGTCATGTTAGGGTCTGTTATCATCATGTTAGTGTATGTTAGGATCTGTTTAATTGTGTTTTGATGAGCTAAATCGGGTTGTGTGTATGAGAAAAACGCTAAAAATGAATTTTGGGCATTTACCCACAAATTTTGGGTTTTCCCACGGTTTTTAGCTTTAGCTACGAACTAGCCGTGGGTAAAAACCTAGTCCAGGATGACATTCATCACGCATTCAACTTTGAGATAGACTTGACTGGAAACAGTGTAACTTGAGTTTTGTGACTCTGATCGAGGCACGATCGAATGCGTTGGAAAGTTAGTTCAGTGAACTATCTTTTGATGATGAGATATCATGTTTGCATGATTGTTTATTATGTGTTATGATCATGGGAACTTGTTGGTGTGGTTGTGTTGCTATCTTCATGATACAACTTACGACTGTTAGCAATATGTGATTGTGTGATGACTAAGTTCTTTTATATATTTGAATGATGAGAAAATGCACATACTTGATAAGATTGTTGTTGATAGGATTCACTTTGATAAGCATGATATGTTTGTACTTTAACATGAAATGAGTTCAAATGGCATGAATAATTGTGGGTATATGATAGAAATTGATGACTATGATTTTTTGTGTAATATTATGATGTTATGATTGGGAAATTTAGATTGGGAGTGTAGAAAAAACCGCGTCTGGTGTTAAACCCAGAATCAGGTAGATATGTGTCGATTGATCCCGAATCGGGCAAGTGTAAAATCCTAGATAGACTTGGCGTAGTATTTGAATCTATTGGTTTGGCTGTGGAATAAGTGGTAAATGCCTCTTGATATAGACTATGGGATCCCATGTTTGAAACCCTAAAGTCTTGAATTGTGTAAGACTTAACCGTAAGTAATTAATCGATAAGTGGGGAACCTTAGAAGATAATAACTGAGGTGTAAAGTATTGAATTCTAATTATCTATGATGCCTAGGACCTTTGTTACACATGATGGTGGAAAGTTGTAAATGTGGTACCTAGGATCTTTGATACATCTGATGGTGAAGTTTACGAAAGCGATTATCGTTCTTCGATAGTGTGTTGATGTGCGGATTTTGTATATAACAAATCGTTAAGTGAAGTCGTAGTAGTACATAGGATTTCCTAGTTGGTGGTTCGGCGTGGGGAGGATGCACGTCCCAAAGTAGGAATGCTGGTGAGTCTGTAAGACCATATGCCTGAGGCTATGAGACCCAAAAGTAGGAAGGTGGGGAAACTGTAAGATCATACCCTTGAAGGTACGAATTAGTTGATCGCTAAATACTGATGCAACTGGACCAAAATCTGTGACTCATGTTGATCCACTAGGCAAGTGTAACTAAGGGACTATGATTCATTAGTGTGATTAAAGCATTATATGCTTAGAGTATTTATGTCGGTTAGTGTGAAACACTGTAAGCTTCAATGTGTTGTATTGTGTTAAGTACAAATGTATAATACTCGTGGTTTTGTTGTGCACGATGTTTTACCTTGTATAGTTGAGTGGACCTATAAGATAGGGAGCTCAACTGAGATTTAGTAATTCGCTCGATTGGGCCTAGGTCCCCTCACCGATTCAGGATTCATACTCCTTCCCTTATTCATATGTGGCTAATGATGTGTCCAAGAAATAATCGTTTGAGATATTACAATCAAAAAGGGAAAACAACTTCTCCACAATTTGAGGGAGAACATGTCTTCCCTTATTTTCATGCCTTCGTTGAGAATCTAGGAAAAATTATTTCTCTCCTCCTGATTCGACCTAAGAAATATTTTATAAATACTCTAACCTCAAGGTTTGAAGATTCATTCACTAATTCTACAAAACCCTAATATACATAATCTCTTGCTACCCACACGTGATCTGACTCTCATTAATCCTTATTTTATTTCAAAAACACAATTGGCACACGAAGTAGGCTATCAATAAAACTAACCTAGACCATGCTAAATCAAACCTTCAATTGCTTCAGCCACTTTTTTCAACATAATGACACGACAAAGCGCTACCACAGCTAACAATGTCATCCATTAGATCAAAAAACTTTAGCAAAGATGTGTGTTGCTATGGAATATTTATGTTACTACAATCATACTCTTGAGGCGAATGTCCTAACCTTTCTAGAGCGGCACCATGATGATTCCTAGATAGAAGACGAGGTCCTAGATCGCTAACCTCTCAAGCGAGATATGGGGTGTTTCGATATCAGAGAGTGTCAAGTTGTTGCCACTGTGAAATTTGATGGTAAGAGTGACTATCAGGAGCATATCACCGCCATTAACACTATGACGACGATCATTAATGCATCCTATTCAAATGAAGCACAATCTTAGGTCCAACACTTTCAAGGAGGCGACCCTGAGATGATTCATGAATATACCTTGCCTTTTAGTAAGCAATTACCAGGATCTCTTCATGAAACTGGTCAACTAATTCTCAACAAACTAACATTAGAAGGTGTCCACCACTAGTATGTTCGATGTATGTTGTGATACGGTGGGAGAACTGACTTGAAGGTTTTGCGTTTTATTCAAATGTTGCGGTTAGCAAGAGTCGTCACCGACTTTTCTTTTATCCAAAAGGAAAGGTGAAAAAGTATAGGAAAGACCTTTGAGATTATTTCTTGAGTTCGGGGGTAGATTATGAAAAGGGAAGGTATTAGCACACTTTTCATCCATGATTTTTCATGGGCTCTTAGTTACTTGCTAGATCACTTACTTTTGTTTGAAATTGTGCTTTGTGTGGTTTTTGAAAGTATTTTGTAAAGAGACCATTGTTTAGGAGATCTTTGTAATGATTCTTGTTCGTAAGAATGTATATAAAGATGTTGATCTTTTGAAAATGTTTTTAATTTTATAAGATGTTTGAAAGTGTAGGTGTTTGTTTTGAAAATAGTAAGGATGTTTGTTTTGAAATGAAGCAAGTAATTAGGAGCATTCTACCTACTCAAAAGTCTTTCTTGTTCATTTTCTTTTCCTTTGACATTGTTATCTTACCATTGATTTGGTAAGTAACTCTATCTTTGGATGTTAACGGGACGGGCGTGAGTCATCGTATAACCATGATTAGCAATGTTGCAAGGTATCTTAGCATTCCTTTTTTAGGGACCAAGATCATTTGAAACGAAACTTAGATAACGTCATCGAGGGACTATGATCTTATACTTTGCTTATTTTTGCCAAGATATCTCACATGTGTAATATGACCATTTTGTAAAGGAAACCAAGTGGAATTACTCTAGGGGTGCTTGTGTGCAAGTGTATTGTTTTCATGCTTGATTTTGTCTTGAATTAGAGTTTTCTAAGTATTGATTTTAGTCTTTCCATACAAACCCTAATTACTAGCATGTTATATATAAAGCGATAAATTACAGAA